CTTGCAGTTTCTCAAGTTGCTCCTGACAAGACAAAAAAAATCCAGTCTGGTATCCTTGTTCTTGGCAAACTATAAGTTACTATCTTTTATGGGGGGGGGGGGGGCATGTTCGACTTCAAGAGGATTACCTGGGAAGGAATCCCACTGGAGCATTGCAGCACACCCAAATACCCGGAGTTGCCCTGGACTGTGCTGTGATTTAAAAGAAGCACTGCCTCACTACCAAACAAAAAGTGGGCGCTAGAAACAATATCAAAACAAAAGCTGATAGGCACAACCTGGGGATCACAACCAGACACAGTGAAGACATCTGTCCTTGTGCTTCGCTACTCTGCTGCTGAATACGCATGCCCAATGTGGAATACATCTCACCACGTTAAAACAGTGGATGTGGCTCTTAATAAGACATGCTGCATTATCACAGGATGTCTACACCCAACATCACTGGAGAAATTATACTGTTTAGCCAGCATTTCAGCACCTGACATCCGCTACGAAGTAGCAGCCAACAATGAAAAGGACCAAGGCAGCTAGCACGCCAACACCTTAAATCAAGAAATAGCTTTCTAAGATCTAAAGATACTTGCTAGAAATACTCAGCAAGCGAGAATCCAAAAGTGGCAGGTTAAAACCCAGAATCAATGGCTGAGACTGGATGAGAAATTCATGAGCACAGAAGACGGGAAGACCTGGAAGGAACTGAACAGACTGCACTCTGGGACCACGAGATGAAGAGCTAATCTTCAGAAATGGGTCCACAAAGTAGAGTCCATGACATGCAAGTGCGGAGAAGAGCAAACCACAGACCACCGACTACATTTTACATCCTGGTGTGGTTTGGCCAGGGATGGACCATGGATTATGGGACTTGCAGTACCTTTGCTCAATTCTTGAGACCACTGCAACCCTCATCCAATTACCCATAAAGACCAAACGTGGCACACTGAGTCTCCATGATGCATCCTGGAGAAAAGGGTTCATGACAGAAACGGAGACATGAGAGAAGGAAATTTGCATATTGTCTCTGATTGGCCAGCCTCAATTCCAAAATTCTGAGATGACAAAGAGAGGAAAGGAAAAGGCCAGGGGCTGTATCAGAAAATTACCAATATATACCAAAGTTGGCACACAGAGCCTGCAAGACTCACTTGACATCCTACTGCAGTTTGGAGGAGGATGAACCATGGATGATGGGACTTGCAGTACCATCACTCACATTCTGAGACTGCTGTTAACCTCATCCAATGACTGATCAGGACCAAACTTGGCACGTAGACCTCTCATGACCCACTTTACGTCCTGGTGTGGTTTGGCAATGGACCATGGATTATGGGACTTGCAGTACCTTTGCTCAATTTTTGAGACCACTGCAACCCTCATTCAATTACTGATAAAGACCAGACTTGGCACACTGAGTCTCCATGATGCACTCTACACCCTGGTGGAGTTTGGAGGAGAATGCACCATGGACGATGGGACTTGCAATACCTGCACTCCCTTCCTGAGACCATTACAACTGCCTACAATGATGGATCGGGACCACAATTCACACTGAGAGCCTGCATGACCCACTCTACATCCTGGTGCGGTTTGGAAGAATTTGGCAATGGATGATGGGACTTGCAGTCACTTCACTCACTTCCTGAGACCACTGAGACCCTCGCCAATGGCTGATCAAGACCAAACTTGGCACACAGAGTCCCCATGACCCACTCTACATCCTGGTGCACTTTTGAGGAGGACAGACCATGGATGATGGTGGGATTTCAAGTACCTCCACTCCCCAAGACTGCTGCAAAACTCATCTAATGACCAATCAAGACCAAACTTGGCACACAGAGCCCCCATGACCCACTCTACATCCTGCTGCAGTTTGAAGGAGGATGGACTTTGGATGAGAACTGCACCCTCCCTCATGACATTCAGGAAACTAACAAAGACCTGGTTGTGGAACGCGGCATTTGACAACTGATTTAATTCTTTGCCCACATGAAAGGAGGATGATGAATGGGATTGTGATGGTGTCGGACGATTTGGCTCTTTTAACTGTGATGATAATGTTTTAATGTGTATAGTGTCTGATATTTTAATCGTGTTATGAAGTGGCATTGTGTTGTTATTGTATATTCTTTGTATGTTAACACATGTTGTGAACCGGTCCGAATCCCTCTTTGAAGGTGAGAGGGTCGGTATATAAAACCTCGAAATAAATAATAATAAATAAAATAAAATACTGAAACCACAGCCACCCTCATCCAATGAATGATAAAGACCAAACTTGGCACACAGAGTCCCCATGACCCACTCTACATCCTGGTGCACTTTCGAGGAGGACAGACCATGGATGATGGGACTTCAAGTACCTCCACTCCCTTCCCAAGACTGCTGCAACCCTCATCTAATGTCCGATCAAGACCAAACTTGGCATACAGAGCCGCCATGACCCACTCTACATCTTGATGCTGTTTGGAGGAGGACGGATGATAGATGATGGGACTTCCAGTACCTTTATTCACTTCCTGAAACCACAGCGACACTTATCCAAATACCAAGAAAGAACTTGGCAAACTTTGGCCAACTCAACATTCTGATGAGGTTTGGGGGAGAACAGACTATGGAGGATGTGACTTGCAGTACCTAAACTCATTAACCATTTCTTAAGATTGGCTCTGCATCTCGTGCTGCCAGAGCGCAGTCTGTTCAGCGCCTTCCAAGTCGCCCAGTCTTCTGTATGCCCAGGGGGGAGTCTCTCATCTGGTATCACCCACGGATTGAGGTGCTCGGTTTGAGCCTGCCACTTTTGAACTCTTGCTTGCTGAGGTGTTCCAGTGAGTATCTCTGTAGATCTAAGAAAACTATTTCTTGATTTGAGTCGTTGACGTGCTGGCTGATACCCAAACAAGGGATGAGCTGGAGATGTCTCTGCCTTGGTCCTTTCACAATCCAATGATTGATCAAGAACAAAACTTGGCACACAAAGCCCCCACGACCCACTCTCCATTCTGGTGCAATTTGGAGGAGGATGGCCCACAGATGATGGGACTTGCAGTACCTTCACTTACTTCCTAAGACCACTGCGAGCCATATAAATAACTGATAAAGACCAACCTTGAGACACAATTCCTTTCTCAAATAATCCGGGTCCCCAAGCTAGTTTTTAATAAATCCATGTTGACTATTAGCAATGACTGCATTTGTTTCTAAGTGTTTGCAGACCTATTCCTTAACATTTTTTTCCAGAATCTTGCCTGGTATCGACGTGATCTTCCTTTTTCCTCCTTCTTCCCTTTCTGTTTTCCCCTTTCCTCCATCCCCAAAGGGATCCAGGCAAAGGACGCCTTTGGGGGAAAAGAGAATAGAAAGCGGTGCCGTTTTCGGCCATGGCCACACGATGGCAGCAAAGGGCCGTGGCGGCTCGAATGAAGAGGGGGCTGCACTTCCCGATGTGTCCACTGGGCGGCCAAGGCAAAGGGACCACCCTGGAGCGCCAAAGGAAACCCAGAGGCGCTCGCTCGTTCAACCCCCCCCCAAATGTTTCAGATTTTTTTTAAAAAAAAAACTGGTTTACTCATGAATTTTAACTGGTTAACCAAATCCCCATGCTAAGTCTATGAGATGCAAAAAATTAAGAGTCCCTCCAGAACTGCAAGCACTATCTCAAGCAAATATTGACAATTTATTCACACTGTCATTACTTGCAGCAATAGCCGATGTAGCAAAGCATCCAAGTTGGGGGTGGGGGGGGGGTTGTTGAATGCTCTCATTAAGGAGGCCAGACTTGGTGGAGGTGGTTGACAGGGGCGGAGCTGCAGACTATGGAAGGCTGCTCTGCCCCCTGCTGTGCTCTTTGCGGGGATTGTGGCACAGCTGGCTGAGTGTCAGCTGCATTAAGATCACTCTGACCAAAAGGTCATGAGTTCGAAGCCAGCCCGGGTTGCAGTGGGTTTCCAACCAATTGTGTGTAGCCTGTTGTCGACCTTTGCAACCCGAAAGATAGTTGCATCTGTCAAGTAGGAAAATTAGGTACCACCTTAAAGTGTGGGGAGGCTAAATAAAGAAGACTCCGGCAAAGCATTCCAGCGGGGAAGGTAAAGGTAGTCCCCTGACATTAAGTCCAGTCATGTCTGACTCTGGGGTGTGGTGCTCATCTCCATTTCTTAGCCGAAGAGCCAGCGTTGTCCGTAGACACCTCCAAGGTCATGTGGCTGGCATGATTGCATGGAGTGCCCTTACCTTCTCGCCGGAGCGGTACCTATTGATCTACTCACATTTTCATGTTTTCAAACTGCTAGGTTGGCAGAAGCTAGGGCTGACAGCAGAAGCTCACGCCGCTCCCCGGAATCGAACCTGTGACCTTTCGATCAACAAGCTCAGCAGCTCAGTGCTTTAACCAACTGCGCCACCGGGGGCTCCTCCAGCGGGGAAGCGTGCGGGGAATGCGGAAGTGCTTCATCAGTGTCGCAGATGGACGATGAAAGCGACAGCTCCCCTGGCGGCCAGAAAAAGTTAATAGCCTCTGTGTATGTCTGTATTGTTTGTATGTCAAAATTGGCATTGAATGTTTGCCATATATGTGCACATTGTAATCCGCCCTGAGTCCCCTGCGGGGTGAAGAGAAGGGCGGAATAGAAATACTGTAAATAAATAAATAACATAAATAGAAGGCAGGTTTCAACCCCTCCCCCCCCCAAATTTCAACCCCTCCCGAAATTTTTTTCTGGCTACGGCCCTGCTCGCTCGTCTTTCTCTTTTTAAACTACATTTAAATCTCCTTGTCTGCTCTCTCTCTCAAAAAAATACGGGGCCATGTTTGAATTTTCATTTCAGGGAGTCTCTCTGGGAGGATTTTTCCGTCAGGCACCACAATAGCCAGCTAAGAATGCCTCGCTGTGCATTGTGGGCCTCGTCCTTGGCTTTGGCGCGAAGGCGCTCTGGCGCGCGTTGCATGGTGGGAAGGCGGCGCTTCCCCCCCTTGAGCCGGATCTTCTTCCAAGCCGAACAAGGGGGAAAATAGAGAAGAATCGCTGCGCCCGTCTTTCCTAGGCCTCGGCCTAGAGTGGCGAGTAATCGAAAGGGGAGCGTAAGGAAAACGTTTGCAAGCGGAGGGACTTCTTTTTCTCTTGCGCATGCGCAATTGGAAAGGCGGAGGCATCTGAGGAGAAAGCGTGCAAGAGTGACGTCACGGCGCGCGCGCGCGAGACTGAGAGGATCCTTGCGCGAGGCAGGTAGAGCCGCCATTTTGTGTCGCTCTGAGGGAAGGCGCGTCCGAGGCGGATCCCTCCCAGTCGACTGGGCCCGGCGCCTGCCTCCCTCCTTCGCTTTGTCAGGCCCCGTCCTTGCTTCCCCTCTCTCCCTCTTTCTTTCCTTCCTTTCTTTCTTTCCCTCGCTCGCTCCCTCCCTTTCTCTCCCCGCTCCGGGCCCTTCTTGCCGGCCTTCCCTTTCTCCACGAGCCTCGGCCCCCGCCAACCGCAGCCATTGCCGACCTCGCCATGTCAGGCGGCGGCGTGATCCGCGGCCCGGCCGGGAACAACGACTGCCGCATCTACGTGGGCAACCTGCCGCCGGACATCCGCACCAAGGACATCGAGGACGTCTTCTATAAGTACGGCGCCATCCGGGACATCGACCTCAAGAACCGCCGCGGGGGGCCGCCCTTCGCCTTCGTCGAGTTCGAGGACCCCAGGTGAGGAGACCCCCCCCGCCCCCCCATTATGTCAAGTCTGGACTGCACAATTCAACCCCTACCAACAGATGGCCACCCAACTTCGGAATCAGAGTTGGAAGGGACCCTCAAAGGCCATCCTGCCCAGCCCTTCATGGCAAAGGATAGTATAATTCAAGCCCTATCAACAGATGGCTGTCCATTCTTCGATTCAGAGACTCCCACAGTTGAAAGGGGCCCCCAAAGACTATCCAGTCCAGCCCTTATGTCAAGGGACAGTGCAATCCAAGTCCTGCCAACAGAAGGACATTCAGCCTCTAGCTCAGTGGTTCTTGTCATGCGTTAGCATGAATCATAGAATCAAAGAGTTGGAAGAGACCTCATGGGCCATCCAGTCCAACCCCATTCTGCCAAGAAGCAGGAATATTGCATTCAAAGCACCCCTGTCAGATGCCCACCAGCCTCTGTTTTAAAGCCTCCAAAGAAGGAGCCTCCACAACACCAGGGCAGAGAGTTCCACTGCTGAACGGCTCTCACAGTCAGGAAGTTCTTCCTCATGTTCAGGCGGAATCTCCTCTCTTGTAGTTTGAAGCCATTGTTCTGCGTCCTAGTCTCCAGGGAAGCAGAAAACAAGCTTTCTCCCTCCTCCCTGTGGCTTCCTCTCACATATTTATACATGGCTATCATATCTCCTCTCAGCCTTCTCTTCTTCAGACTAAACATGCCCAGCTCCTTAAGCTGCTCCTCATAGGGGTTATGTCAAGGGACAGTGCAATTCAAGTCCTACCAACAAAAGGACATCCAGCCTCTAGATCATATACTCCTAGGGTTGGAAGGGACCCTCAAAGGCCATCCAGTCCAGCCCTTTATGTCAAGGTCCCCCATGACCTTCTGGCAAACATACTAGTCCAATATGGGCTAGGCAAAACTATGGTGAGGTGGATCTGTAATTGTTTAAATGGACGAACCCAGAGGTTGTACACCAATGCTTCCTCTTCATCCTAGAAAGAAGTGACGAGCGGAGGGCCATCAGCAGGGTTCTGTCCTGGGCCCGGTCCTGTTCAACATCTTTATTAATGACTTAGATCAGGGATCCACAAACGTTTTAAGCAGAGGGCCAGGTCAAAGTCCCTCAAACTGTTGAAGGGCCAGATTATAATTTGAAAAAAGCATGAATGAATTTCTATGCACACTTAAAAACAATACAATGATTAAAATGAAGTACAATTTTAACAAGTATAAACTTATTAGTATTTCAATGGGAAGTATGGGCCTGCTTTTGGGTGATGAGATAGGATTGTTGTTGTTATTGTGTGCTTTCAAGTCGTTTCAGACTTAGGTTGACCCTGAGTGAGGGCCGAGTAAATGACCTTGGAGGGCCGTATCTGGCCCCCGGGCCATAGTTTGAGGACCCCTGACTTAAATGAAGGGCTAGAAGGCATGATCATCAAGTTTGCAGACAACACCTAATGGTGAGGGAGATCTAATACTCCAGAGGACAGGAGCAGACTTCAAAACGATCTTGACAGTTTTAGAGAGATGGGCCAAAACTAACAAAATGAAGTTCAACAGGGACAAATGCAAGAGACTCCACTTAGGCAGAAAAAAGGAAATGCAAAGATACAGAATGGGGGGCGATGCCTGGCTCGAGAGCAGTATGTGTGAAAAAGATCACGGGGTCCTCATGGACAACGAGTTAAACATGAGGCAACAATGTGATGTGGCGGCAAAAAAAAGCCAATGGGATTTTGGCCTCATCGAGAGGAGCATAGTGTCTAGATCTAGGGAAGAAATGCTACCCTTCTATTCCGCCTTGGTTAGACCACACCTGGAATATTGTGTCCAATTCTGGGCACCACATTTCAAGAGATATTGACAAACTGGAATGTGTCCAGGGGAGGGCGACTAAAATGATCAAGGGTCTGGAGAACAAACCCTATGAGGAACGGCTTAAGGAACTGGGCATGTTTAGCCTGAAGAAGAGAAGACTGAGAGGAGATATGATAGCCATGTATAAATATGTGAGAGGAAGTCACAGGGAAGAGGGAGCAAGCTTGTTTTCTGCTTCCCTGGAGACTAGGACATGTAACAATGGCTTCAAACTACAAGAGAGGAGATTCCATCTGAACATGAGGAAGAACTTCAGCAGTGGAACTCTGCTCCAGAGTGTGGTGGAGGCTCCTTCTTTGGAGGTTTTTAAACAGGCTAGATGTCCATCTGTCAGGGGTGCTTTGAATGCAATATTTCTGCTTCTTGGCAGGGGGTTGGACTGGATGGCCCATGAGGTCTCTTCCAACTCTATGATTCTAAGGGACAGTTCAATTCAAATCCTACAAGCAGAGACATCCAGCCTCTAGATCATGGATTAGATCTGCCTCTTCTCTCCTAACTTTTAGAAAGCTGGTAAAATCATAGCTTTAGGACACTGCATTTGCAGATTGATGACTCAGTCAATAACTGTTGACCTACTGGCGGATGGCGATGAATTTGTGATTTCACTCTGACGAACTGACTTTTTTGTAAATGGTATGAATTGTATTTTAATGTATTTTATATTGATGATGTATGTTTGCTTTACCTTTTTACTGAATCCTCTGTTGTTAGCCAGCCTGAGTCCCTCTCCGGAGGTTGAGAAGACCGGGTTATAAAAGTTCCAAATAAATAAATAAATAGACTCCTAGGGTTGGAAGGGACCCCCAAAGGCCAGCTCTTCATGTCAAGAGACAGCACAATTCAAGCCCTACCAACAGGTGGCCGTCCAGCCCCTGATTCAAAGACTCCTGGAGTTGGAAGGGACCCCCCCCACCCCAAGGTCATCCACTCCAGCCTATTATGCCAAGTAAGGACAACACAATTGAAGTCCTACCAACAGGTGGCTGACCATCCAGCCTCTGAATTATAGGCTCTTAGAGTTGTAAGATGCCCCCAAGGCCATCCAGTCCAGCCCATTATGTCAAAGTTGGGGCAGCACAATTCAAGCCCACCTGACAGAGGGCCAACCAGTCTCTGAATCAGACTCGTAGAGTTGGGAGACACCTCCCAAGGCTATCCAGTCCAGCCCATTACACCAAGTAGGGACAGCACAATTCAAACCCTACCAACAGATGACCATCCAGCCTCTGCTGGAGGCAGGGTACAACATAATTGTATTTCAACTGTTGTTCCCTGCCTCGAGCTGAAGAGGGACAAGTAATAAAAAATTATCCTATTGTTGTGATTTGAACAATTTTCCCAGAAAGGGATTCATCGGGATTGCAACCTCCACTTCCCTTGGCACTTATGGCCTATGGGGCTTATGGGAAATATCATTTCTTTACTGCTCATGTTCACAGGAAGTAGAGTGCAAGACTTGACACCCATCCTCCCACAGTGCTATTGGAGTTGAAGACGTGCTCTTCTTTGCTGTCACCATCTTGTTCTTTTCTCTACAAAACAGCAATTGTTCTGCTTCTGAAGTAAATTAAATTTTGTTCCTTTAAACCTATTAAAATATGTCTGGTATTTGTTAGTTACGCAGAACACAGTATTTTTCATGGACTTGTTTTTTGCTGTCTTATCTACAACAGGCATGGGCAAACTTTGGCCCTCTTAAGAATTGTGGGAGTTGAAGTCCAAAAAACCTGGAGGGCCAAAGTTTGCCCATGCCTGATCTACAAGCAATAGAGTGGGAATGCATCTTTTTGGTGAGCAGAAATCCAGAGAAGAGGCTGGAAAATGGCAGATGGTGAGGCAGGCCCCCATAAGTTCTTCTGGTTCTTAAGCCATACAAGAAAATCAAACTGCTAGATATTCCAAGAGTCTGCACAAAACAGTTAAACAAGTTTAATTTGCTCACAGTTGCTTTAGAATAACTTTCTCCTTGGCACAGCACTATGTTTAGGTGGCTTTTCATCTTCGCTGGCTGCACCCTCCGTGTATACATTATGATGGAGAAAGACATGAGACATCACAAGCTAATCTTGTGTCAGTAATTCTGCAAAGCTTGTTGCTCAGGTCATGGTTTTTGTGGTGATTCGCCTACCTTTTTAAGAGCAAATCTACAACTATCAGAATACATAGTCATGGCATGCACTTGCTAATGTTAGCTAGTGTCACATGTACTATCTCTTTTTCCATGCTTTTTCAAAAAATAGTTGAAATACAGATTGCGTACTCTACATGCACACCTTGGAGTTTCTCTCTCTTGTTTCACTGTAGAGAAGCCTCCATGGGATCTTGGATCTCTGGAAAAAGTATGTGCTTCCAGTGCCATTGACAGCTTTCATTTGCGTTTTTCTAGGGATGCAGAGGACGCTGTGTATGGACGGGATGGATATGATTATGATGGATACCGCCTCCGAGTGGAGTTCCCTCGCAGTGGCCGAGGCACAGGAAGGGGAGGAGGAGGTGGTGGAGGAGGTGGTGCTCCAAGGGGCAGATATGGGCCCCCATCTAGACGTTCAGAATACAGAGTAATAGTGTCTGGTAAGTTGCACATTGGCTTGGGATACAGCATGGTTTTCTTGGGAAATGTTTATTTGGTCTTTGCAATAGAAGTGTGGAGCTCCTGACAGAGAGTGTATTTTCATCTAAGTGCTATCAAATACCATATATATTCGAGTATAAGCCAAGTTTCTCCCTTCAACTGTGGTGCCCAGAACTGGACACAGTATTCCAGATGTGGTCTGAATAGTTGGATAGCATGACTTGCCAGGATCTAGACACTATGCTCCTATGTATGCAGGCCAAAATCCCATTGGCATTTTTTCCTGCTGCATGACATTGTTGGCTCATTAGTAACTTGTCCATGAAGACACCAAGATCTTTTTCACACGTACTGCTCTCAAGCCATGCGTTCCCTTCATTGTTTCTGCCTAAGTGGAGTATCTTGCATTTGTCAACTGTTTTTACTGTTTGTGAACCGCTGTGAGTCGCCTTCGGGCTTGAGATACAGCGGTATATAAGCAAAGTAAATAAATAAATAAATAAGTTTTCCAACACGTTTTTAAGGCTGAAAAAGCCCCCTTCGGCTTATACTTGAGTCAAAGTTATTTATTTTTTACTGTATTATTATTTATTGCTTTCTCTATTATTGTTATTATTACATTTATTAATTTATTCTATTTTTATTATTACATTTATCATTTTACTCTATTATTATTGGAAGGATATGTAAGCACATTTACATTGAAGAAGGTTAGAATAATGAATAAATCTGAGTTGGACAGTATTATCTTACATTACAGTTTAAATAAATACTCAAAAGTATGTCACCTCCTGGTGCCTCAATTAATGTAATTTTATTGGTATTTATTTTTATTTTGAAATTGACCAGTAGGTGCTGTATTTCCCACCCCCGGCTTATACTTGAGTCAATACATTTCCCTTTTTTGTGGTAAAATTTGGTGCCTTGGCTTATATTTGGCTCATACTATGGCTGGGGGTATGTGAGTTGCGCAAAATGTGGTGTCTTACAAACAGTAGCTTTCTCTTTTTAGAACAGTGGTCCCTAACCCGTGAATAAGGTCCACAGCCCCAAAGTAACATCATCATCATTATTATATTATTATCATCATCCTAATCTCCCATTGCCAAACACAAGAATTATAATGGGAAAGCAGCCCTTTGTAAGACCCCATTTAGTCGCCCAAAGTGGTGGCGGTGATGATGATGGTTGTTATTATTAAAGCTGTTAAGGACAGTTTGTTGGGTCTCGCACTCTGCTTTATGTATTTTTTCAAACTCTAAAGTTGACCAAAAACCGATTCGTAATCCTTTTGATACTAATTTTGGAGAGTGGTCGCTGGTCAGTGCGGTCCCTGGTCAAGTGCTCCCTGGTCATAAAAAGGTTAGGAACCACTGTTTCAAAAGAATCACAGAATCATAGAATCAAAGAGTTGGAAGAGACCTCATGGGCCATCCAGTCCAACCCCCTGCCAAGAAGCAGGAATATTGCATTCAAATCACCCCTGACAGATGGCCATCCAGCCCCTGTTTAAAAGCTTCCAAAGAAGGAATTTGGTCCTATTGAAAGAAGATGAAAGCATGCTTGCAAAGGATGGTTTGGTCTGCAATACCAATAAACATCTTTCACTTCATATTCTCAGTGCCAGTACTTCTATTCCTCTCCTTCCACAAATCCTAAATTTCAAAGACAGCATGTACGTGAACGTTTGCAGACAGGTTTTTTAAGCAAAGGCAGTACTATATTGCGTTGGTAAATTCTGAAAGGTCTCCACCTCACTTCAGTAGAAATCTTCTCTAGATAACCTCCAACCTGTCTCTTGTTCAGGACTGCCTCCCAGTGGAAGCTGGCAGGATTTAAAGGATCACATGCGCGAAGCAGGTGATGTATGTTATGCTGATGTTTTCCGAGATGGAACTGGTGTCGTGGAGTTTGTACGGAAGGAAGATATGACCTACGCAGTGCGAAAACTGGATAACACTAAGTTTAGATCTCATGAGGTAGGTTTTCCACTTAATGTTTTGACCAGAATTGGATGCGCAGGGTTGCAATTGGATGCAGTAGGATTGCAGGTAAGGCAGTCCAGTCTCTCTGTTTGCAGGATGGATCACTACAGACAGCTAGTATGATCCTATGTTGAGTATATTGCCTAGTAAGATGTGATGTGACCCCCTTCTTGGTTCTTATAAATCTACAGTCTGTCAGCATGCCTGCAAATAGAGCTGAAAAACTTAGACCTTTCAATCGAAAGTTGTGTCTATTTGATAGGGAGAAACTGCCTACATCCGTGTTAAAGTTGATGGCCCGAGAAGTCCAAGTTATGGAAGATCTCGTTCTCGCAGCCGTAGTCGTAGCAGAAGCCGTAGCCGAAGCAACAGCAGAAGTCGCAGTTATTCCCCGAGACGAAGCAGAGGATCTCCACGCTACTCTCCCCGTCACAGCAGATCACGCTCTCGTACATAAATTTATCTTTAATGGTGCTCCTTTTTGTAGAACCCCACCATGTTGTATGCAGTTTTCTTTTACTCAGTGCAGTCTATTTTTTTTTAATACCAATAATTCAAGCTGTTTTATTCAAAATTGGCTAAAGTGTTTGAATTGCATACTTGTATGATATACCTAGTGGAATATTTACTCCTTAACCTCAACATTCCCTCACGTCTTTTCATAAATTGTATTTTAACAATGTCCTAGGCAGGGCTGTCACTAGTTAGTTTGCTGCCACCACTCTCTTCCAACTGTGATATTGCTGTATAAACATGTCCTTGTTCTGCAATTGGGGGGGAATGTCGGGAATGTTTGGGATTTAATTGTCTTCTGGGGGAAGCTTATATTTTATCTTGCCTTTTCGTGTGTCTTTCTGTAGACATATCTGAAGAGATGGATTAAGGATGCTTTGGATTAAAGGATTGTGGATCACATGTCAAATCATTTTAGGATTGTCAAAAGGAGGATTGAGGAGGATCAGATCATTAATGGAGGCAATGGTATGACTCCAAGTGCTATTGTCAACAGATTAAATTGGCAGTATTGACCTTATACTCTAAGAGACTAACTGGATACACACATCTGTCCTAGACCTGATTTGATTTAGTTATAGTCTTTTTAAAATCACCATGATAGCAATTGTGGCTAAAAGTACCCATGTGACTTTCAGTCCTGGGGGTGGGGAAATATGGCGTGATTGCAGTGTATCAGTTTACCTGTTAAGACACAGGTGGTTCCTTGCCTGTGTGTATAATCTCAATACTGCTAAAATCTGCATGTCCTCTGTGTGACTGATATAGCATTGCTGTTTCACCTTAAGAGTAACAGAATGAGACCAATGTTAAGAAGGGTGGGGTGGGGGATGCCTTGGGGGAGTGTTTCTTAAGTCCACCCTCTTCCCCTTCAAGATAAATCAGAATTGACTTGCTGATAACTTCAGTTAGCTTTGTTACCTTCCTTACTAAGTACAATGAGCTTTTAGTTTAGACATGTCATAGGCAGATAGCTTTAGCAATAAGTTTTGACCACTTTGTAAAATGTTTTTGCCACCTTCAAAATCTGCAACGTGTACCATATTTTGGCATTATGAATCCCCCAGTGTAAATACTAGAATGTTTCCTTCAAATGGTTTAACATTGCTAAAAATCTAAGCTTTGCAATTCAAAAAGCTTGTCTTGGGGAACTGATAGTTATCGATGCACGTCGTGATGAATATTCCGCGGCAGACATAACTCATCATTCCCCAGAATCCTATTTTCCATTACGGTATCTAACTTTCTGCCTCCTCTTTTTTGGTTTTGCTGGTTATAAAGGTTTGGATTGGAGAGGGCTCACTGGATCCCAATCCTTGGAGCTGGATCATTGGATTCAAATCATAATGTGGATAGGATAGGGAGGATCAATGGCAAGGATTCATGGAGCGGGATCAGATTACCAGGACATAGGAGTGGATTCCTGCCCCAACCAAACCGCACTCGTGTGGATTTTTATTCAACTCAATTGGCTATTCCAAAGCTTTTTTTCCTATTTTTGTCGATTGGAGCCCTTAAAGATGCACGATGGAGTTTTCATTTTTTGATAAAAGGAGCAAAGCAAGGACCTGGAGAGGTACGCTGGAGCATTCTCCTTGGAAGGATTCAGCACGAGTAGATGGTAAATGTTAAAGGGGAAAAGGGGGGTTTGTTTACAAACGTTATACCAATAAGTCGTTTGTCTAAATTTAAAAGACAATAAGAAATTGGAGTCATAAGTAGGTTTCCAATTGGCAATTGCCTTTTTTTCTTTTGACAAATAAAATTTTATAAAAAAAAAGTGCATGGTGGTTCTGTTGTATTAAACGATACCTTCTTATTGTCTTATGCCAGTGTTTCTCAACTTGGGGGCTGCGAGGTGGTTTCAGAGGAGTCGCCAAAGACCACCAGAAAACATATATAGGTCTTAGGAACCCCTTTGACAGAGAAGGCTGAAGATCTCTCTGCCTGTCCTTCTGTTTCTTTTTGGAAACAGACAACAAATCCTCCCATCAAAAGCCCTCCTCTGCTGTGATTGGTTGGCCTCTAAGCCAAGGGAAGGGCTGTTTCTGAGACTCCACGCAGGGAGGGGAGAGCAGGCGTGCACGATGCCTGGCAACATGGTGCGCATGCGAGGGAAAGTGTGCAAGGCAGGAGGGAGGCTTGTGTCAGCGAGTCCCTTCAAGGCATGGGAGTTCTTTTTTTAATACTTTTTATTGCATTCATAATTTTACCACAGAAAACTGGGAAAACAGATTGACTTGAGTATAAGCCGAGGGTGGGAAATGCAGCACCTACTGGTAAATTCCAAAATAAAAATAGATACCAATAAAATTGCATTAATTGAGGCATCGGTAGGTTAAATGTTTTTGAATAAAACCATAAGTTAAGTTAAGACTGTCCTCTGATTAAAGCATTATTGTAACCTTCTTCAGTGTAAATGTGTTTACATATCCTTCCAATAATAATAGTTTAAAATAATAAATGTAATAATAACAATAATAAAGAATAAAATAATAAATGTAATAAGAATAGAGTAAAATGATTAAAATAATAATCAGAATAAGAATATAGTAAAATAATAAAAACTCTTGACTCGAGTATAAGCCAAGGGAGACTTTTTCAGCCTAAAAAAAGAACTGAAAAACTAGGCTTATACTCGAGTATATACAGTAATTTTTTTCTTCATAATACTTTCTATTTCTACTATAGCTTTTCCCCAGAACCTCTGTACATATTTGCATTGCCACCACATGTGGATATATGTACCCCTTCCTTGGCAACCCCTCCAACATTTTTCTGAACAACCCTTATTCATATTGTGTATCTTTGTCAGGGTTCAGGTACCATTTCCATACCATTTTGTAGTAGTTTTATCCTAATGTATACATTCTTGAGGTGTCTTGCTCTCCATAATTTTTCCCAATTTCTTTTTCTCCTATTTTTATTCCCAATTCTTCCTCCCATTGTTCCCTTGTTTGTATCTCTTTTCTTCCCCCTTTAATCTCTATTAATATTTTGTATATCATACTTGTTATCCCGTTTTGATGCTCATTTTCTTCTTTAGCCTGTTCTTTTAATATTATATTTTAAAATTTCGTTGGTTCTCTTTCCCCTGAGCTCTTTCCTTTCCAATTTTTGAACCATTGGTCCAGTTGGACCCAATGGAGCCATGATATATTTAATTCGCCTAGGATTTCCTTAATGCTGCTCTTCTCCTTTATTTGTTCTATCCAACTTCCAATTTTGTCTATTTCTTTTTCAATTCCTTTTCCATCACATTTCTCAGATTTTTAGGAAATTTCTCCTCCATTATAACTGGCATTATTTTAGAATTCCCTTTGATTAGGTTTTTCTTATATTTGTTCCATATTGTTACTGTATTTTCCATTTGTACATTTCCCACTTGATTAATTCCCTTTTTTGAGTATTCCTTTAAAATATATACTACCTAATCTCATTTCTATATCTTTATTATTTATTACCATCCAGTCTGTGTCAGCTTTGTTTAGCATCCATTCCATCACATGTCTCAATTGGTTCGCCTCATAATAACTTTTAATTTCGGGTAGTCCTACTCCTCCTTTCTGTAGTTTGTACCAGTAGCATTTATTTATTTTATTCTTTTTCTCATTGTTACAAAATTTGTGTTAATTGCTGCAATTTATTCAATTTTTGAAATTTTGAGGAGTATCATTCTAAATATAAAGTTTACTTTGGGTAGAATTTTCATTTTAAATAATGCTATTCTGCCAAACCAAGATAAGTGCATTGTTATATTCAACTAATCTTTGTCTCTTTCCTTAATACAACTAAATTTTTCCTTTCCATCTCACTTAGATTCTTAGTTACTACTCCTAAGGTAAAGGTAAAGGTAGTCCCCTGACATTAAGTCCAGTCATGTCTGACTCTGGGGTGTGGTGCTCATCTCCATTTCTAAGCCGAAGAGCCAGCGTTGTCCGTAGACACCTCCAAGGTCATGTGGCCGGCATGACTGCATGGAGCGCCCTTACCTTCCCGCCGGAGCGGTACCTATTGATCTACTCACATTTGCATGTTTTCAAACTGCTAGGTTGGCAGAAGCTAGGGCTGACAGTGGAAGCTCACACCGCTCCCCGGAATCGAACCTGCAACCTTTGGATCAACAAGCTCAGCAGCTCAGTGCTTTAATCCACTGCGCCACCGCAGTTATTTTTATCTCCCTCTGATTTTTGAAATTGTCCTCTTCTTGTTTTGTATAGTTAAATAAAATCATTTCTGATTTTTTCCAATTTATTTTCAGCCCTGTTAATTCTCCAAATTTCTTTATGTGTTCTCCTATTATTTTCCTTTTTTCTGTTAAACCTTTTAAACTCAAAATTATGTCGTCGGCAAACTTGCTAATTTTGTCTGTTTCTTGTCATATCCCTATTTCCTTTCGTAGTCACTGTGAATCGTACATTTGGTATCTCTGCGCCTGCGCAGTACAGCTTTCGGAAACTTCCAGAAAATAAAATAAACATCTTAGCCCTCAGCTAGGCTCGCCCATCTCCCTCTAGTATATAAAGCCCATGGGCAGGGCTAGCTGACAGTTCTCTTAATCCTCCCGCTTGTGAAGCAGCTCGGATAACCTTCTGTGTATTTGCGATCCTTCTTTTTCGACTTAATTGATCCTTTTGGTACTTTGAACTTTTGGACTGTTTCCTGACCATTCTTTTGCTGAGCCCTCCTATTGCGATCTTCTATCGGACTGCCTTTAAGGTACCTCGACTCCGGAACCGTCTTTGACTACCTCTTTTGGACTAATCCTGCCATTATGGCCACCACTTCTTTTAAGAAGTGTTCTAAATGTCCAAATACCTTGCTGGACACAGATGGGCACTCCCTTTGCCTCACCTGCTTGGGCGAGGCCCATCTGATCCAATCTTGCTCCATTTGCCTCTCATTTACTCCTCAAACGAGGAAAAACAGGGTCTCCAGACTAAAAGCGGCGCTTTATGAGAGGACCATTCTACCACCTATTGGTGACACAGGACATCCCTGCCTAGTCCCTCGTTACTTTTATTTTATCGGTTACTCCATCATTTTCTAACACCTGTATATAACTTATCTGAATATAGTTGGTTCACTAGTCCCATTATTCTGGGAGTTCTATGTGGGAAGTTTGGCCCAATTTTGTCATTGGTAGGGTTCAGAATAAAATAGTAAAGAGTAGAGACATCACACTGGCAACAAAGATCCGCATAGTCAAAGCCATGGTATTTCCTACGGATGTGAGAGCTGGACCTTAGGGAAGGCTGAGCGAAGGAAGATAGATGCTTTTGAACTGTGGTGTTGAAGGAAAGTTCTGAGAGTGCCTTGGACTGCGAGAAGATCCAACCAGTCCATCCTCCAGGAAATAAAGCCCGGCTGCTCACTGGAGGGAAGGATACTAGAGACAAAGTTGAAGTACTTTGGCCACATCATGAGACAGCAAAGCCTAGAGAAGACAGTTATGCTGGGGAAAGTGGAAGGCAAAAGGAAGAGGAGCCAACCAAGGGCAAGATGGATGGATGGCATCCTTGAAGTGACCGGACTGACCTTGAAGGGGCTGGGGGTGGTGACGGCCGACAGGGAGCTCTGGCGTGGGCTGGTCCATGAGGTCATGAAGACGACTGAACGAATGAATAACAACAAGGGTTCAGAATGCTCGCTCTTTGTAGGTGAACTGTAAATCCCAGCAACCACAACTCCCAAATGTCAAGGTCTGTATTCCCCATACTCCACAAGTGTTCACATTTAGGCATATTGAGTATTCTTGCCAAGTTTGGTCCAGATCCATCATTGAGTCCACAGTGCTCTCTGGATGTAGGTGAACTACAACTCCCAAACTCAAGGTCAGTGCCCACCAAACCCAGTATTTTCTATTGGTCATAGGAGTTCTGTGTGCCAAGTTTTGTTCAATTCCATAGTTGGTTGAGTTCAGAAAGCTCTTTGATTGTAGGTGAACTATAAGTCCCAGCAACTACCACTTCCAAATGACAACATCAACCCCCTCCAACCTCACCAGAATTCAAATGTGGGCATATTGGATATTTGTGCCAAATTTGGTCCAATGAATGAGAATACATCCTGCATATCAGATATTTACATGACGCTTCATAACAGTAGCAAAATTACAGTTATGAAGTAGCAACGAAAATATATGTTTGAGAATCACCACAACATGCGGAATTTTATTAAGGGATCGCGGCATTAGGAAAGTTGAGAAACGCTGTCTTATGCCGTGATGAATTCAACTGCTAAGCTCCTCTGGCCCTTAGTCTGGCAACTGAAGACTGGGCCTAAACGGCTGCTCTGTGACCCATTGCCTTGCATTGGATCTCTGCTGTTCTAGTGTAGCACAAAGCATCATTCAAGGACTCACACAACCAGGTTTCAAACAAGGTGAGAATTTCAGATTTCTGTGAAGAGCAGGACTAATTGTTAAATCTGCTGCTGTAATTTTGCATAAATAGTGTTGGGCAAGTGGGCTTATCAACAAAAGAATATCCGCATAAATGTACAGCAGTGTAACTTATTAGCAACGTGGCCAATGGTAATGCCAGGGTGGTCCATGCCTTAGTCACCTCCAGATTGGAATACTGTAATGCACTCTACATGGGGCTACCCTTGAAAACAGCCCGGAAATTCCAACTGGTTCAACGAGCAGCAGCCAGGTTGTTAACTGGAGCTC